ATGAATACATGTCCTACAGGTTGAGCATCCCTAATCCTAAAATCCCAAAAGCAAAATACTCCCAAATATGAAATTTTCCGAGCAGTGATTGCCGTTCACCTGTGTGGAAAATACCATACTTGACCTCTCCACACGTATTTCAATAACCTTTAAAAGGATGGCTCAATGCATGTGACATTCAGAAGAGCAGTCACAAAGGTCACACAATACGTTTTGATCTGCATGTTTTCTAACTTTTTACTCTGTGTTTGATTATATTACATTTGTCCTCCTCATGGGTGGATCATTATTCTTCATGTCTCATTTTCATACTTGTCCTTGCTTTTCTGACAGTTCTTTCTTAATTAAACATATTCCTCTCCTTTGTCCAAGAAGCAAAAGTTGGCATGACTTAAACTCAGTCTTGAAAACACTTTTATGTGGTTTCAACTAAGTAAATTTAGAAATAAAATCTCTCTCTGTCTCTCTCTCTCTCTCACACACACACACACACACACACACACACACACACACTCATATATATGCACACACACCGGATGAAAATGCAAGTACATTAAAACATTGTATAAAATTACCTTCTGTATATTCATGTGCGTTACATATGAAAAAATTAAATTTGAGCTTATATTTGAGTCCAGTCCTCAAGACAGTATATGTACCCAGATAAAGCACCCAAAACAACCAGCAAAATCAGCTTGCTGATGAGAAAACCTGGAATATATTATATTTGTAAGCTTTTATTGAGAGTACTTTACTGGACTGGCTTGTGTAGGTTCATCTCTGTGCACTGCTATGCTGTAGAATCTCCACAGTGCTTCTGTTTCCTCATCTCAAATGACTGGGACACAGTTTGGTACATTGTAAACACTTGACCATATTATTTGTATTCAGTGAATGTAAGAATGACCACAATTGGAGATACATTATATACTCCTTTATCTCTTGCTCTTGTGAGAAGGCAGGAATGATAAACATTAGTCATGGGTGGATCCATGGTATATTATATTCTCAAATGTACTTGCTGTCTCACGGGGGGGGGGCGAGTGGCATGAAGGGGTTGGGGTGTGCGTTAGAGAAACTATGTTCCTGACTCACTGGGAAAATACCTATTTGTATTTAACCAAGCCTTCCTGTCTCTCATCTCTCAGAGGAGATTGTCTGCCTTCCTCAGCAGATGTGTATAAACTCCTCCCTGCTTCTTGCTGAACTGACTTCAAATCTTCTTTTGACAGTTTTCACTGACAGGCAGAAAGACCTCCCTGTTTCTTAATTAACTCCTTAAAATGATGTCATAGCATGTGGCCCACGTCACATAGCTCAACTAATTCCAGTCATTCGCTGGTGACCGGGACATTTTTGTCTGACAAAGACAGACCAGTTGCCTCAGTTCCAGCTCTTTCTGGAAGTTCTCAGTCAACTACAAGGCCTGTTGGGCTGTTAGAGGACAGGACTTTGTGCAAAAAAACTGCAAACTGCAGATGTCAATACCATCCAGGTTTCCTCCAGATTCAATTGTCATGGCCAAGGTGGATGTGAAAGAAATCAGGAGCAAGGGTCTTCTATTCCTAAGGGCTCAGGACTTCTCCAGAGCTTTTGTATTTAATCTTAGTATTTCATGACCCACAGCAAGCTCAGGCCTGGAAGTTGGAAAGAATACAGGTCTGTGATGGGGGCACATTAAATTTTAATCTCAGCTCTAGAATCAACCATAGTTTATGAAAGTGACCAGGTATTTTTAGAATCCTATGTCTCAGTTTATGCCTGTATAAAACCAACATACTTCTATGATAGTGAAATCATGAGAACCCTGGTGACACATATTTACAGGATTCTAAACTTTTTGAGTGTCTCTTTAGCCTCAGCCACCATGACTGTCACTTGCTATAGTAAGAATGAGTCAATTAGGAAGACATTTTGCCAGTTGTCTCAAAGCTTTCCACTTCCTGTTGACTTTGGACGAAGGAACAGTTTTTGTCAGGTTTGTGGAAACCTTTTGACCTAGATACTGCTTTAAGGACAAGGACGTGACATTCCACATGGCTGTGGACGTCACTTTTCTCCTCCTGCATCTCCCAAAGTATTAGTTCTGTAAAGTCAGAGTACCCCCAGACATTTAAATTCCCTTTACGTTGGAAGATAACTTTCTCGTGGATTTGAAACACACACGTGTTCTTCAGTTTTAAGGCATGAATTCCTCCCTGACGACCTGACTTGCAACTATCCCTCTTGTTCAACTTTCGCTCCTCAGTCAATGGTCCCAGCAACCTTCAGGATGCATCCCATTTAGCACAGAAATGGAGAAAGAAACTAGCACACCTAGAGCATCTCTACCCTGTGCCTAAGGATGCTGCACCACAAAAAAGAGGCTTCTTCAGTCCCGATTCTACCCCCATCCCATTGCTCTGAGGCTACTGACTGAATGCTACCCTTCCTCAGCTGAAAAGTTTGCTCCCTTGGAATCACTGCAAGGTGATGTCTAATCGGTGTGACTCCTTTTATGAAAAGTTGTGCCCTCTGAGCTGAGCCTACTGAGAGCACTGATGAGAAGAAGGCCATAACTGTCAGTCTCACAAGGCCAGTCCCTACTGCTGTTTCCTGACTCAGGCTAACATGCCCTGTGAAAGTAGTATGCCAAGGCTGTTAATGGGAACCTGACTAAGTGTAACATGGGCAGGTCTCTCTGATGGTTTAGACCCTTTCTATCTAACAGGCATCACACATCTTGACACAGCCACCTGTACCTTTCTTATTGAAAAAGCAACTGAGACTCAAAGAGTTTTTTAGAGAACAAGAAATAAAATCTAGATCTCTGCTATCACCAACACAGCATCCAACTTCCAAAGAACACAAAATAGCTGCCCCAATTCAAAAGGCTCAGTTTATATAGCGGCGACAGCCGACTAAAGCCGGTCCACTACCAGAGAATAAGGGGAAGAAATGACAGTCATCAGCACTGAAGAAAAACTCTCATTCAGTCTTGCCTTTGACATTTATTGTAGTCCATTTTAGATATGTATTTCATTGTATTCCGGAAGGGAATACTTAAATTTGAAGTTAACTTTCCTTCAGAACATTACCCTGGTGAAATATTCCCTGAATTCCCCTCTTCTGATAGTATGTGGGATGCACTAGGCGGGACTAATCCTAGTCTCCCAAGAATGTGGGAGCACGTTGATTGTACTCCAGAACCTGTTGGCTGTCTCAGGGATTTATGTGTGCTGGCTCACACTGGCTCACAGATCATGTTCACCTCTACCCGACTCTTCATTCCTCTGGTGGCTTGAAACTGGTCACCAACACAGCATGGAAGTCAGTAAGTGAGACAACAAACCCCACTTTCATTCTTTTAATTTCTCTCCCACCCAGCTGGTAAGGTTAAGCATTTATTTATCTTGCTAGTTCTGACTATTGTCATCTGGTAACACCGATAGCACTTTCAGAGCAGACTAGTCTTCTTAAGAATGTGACTCTCCTCTTTGACATCAAGGCAATTGAAAATAGGACAAGTTATAATGTACAAAATATCCCAGAATATTGACCTATTGTGAACCACGGTACTGTAGTTTTGAGAATTTTCCAGACTTGATAGAGATCTTTTTTAAACTCCTCCTAGAATCTTCAGGAAAAATCAAGAATTTATTAGATAATGTCAGATAAAACAAGAGAAAATGGGGCAGAAGGAAAGATATATTTTCAAGAGAGTCCTTTAAAAGTTTTCCTCAAATTTCCCTTTTAATCTTGTGTAAACTTTCAATATTGGTATTTGTTGTATAAACAAACCATCAGCTGTAGCCTATTATATCTAAAGAATAGTGGACTTTATTATCTGTGCTGATTAGGGGTATGTGGGAAGGGGTTGACCAAAGCTTCAACATCAGCAGTGTGTAAACCAGTGTAACCACCATCTTGGAAAATGGTGTGGCAGTATCGAATACTTCTGTACATAAGATTATTGAAAACCACATCTCCCCACAAAGTATCTTCATTCATTGGCACAAACTAGAAACTTCATGGTATTTGTATGTTAGATTTGTAAGTTGAACTACTGATAACACAGCTACATATATCACAAAAAAAGTAGTTGAGAAGAAACACAAACAGTAAGGTAAGTGCAACAACAAAGGCTTTTAGCCTCAGCATTTAGGAGGTAGCAGAGTAAGGGGGATCAGGCCCATGCTGACATTCATCCTTTACTACATAGCCAATTGGGAGTCAATCTGGCCTACTTTAGATCCTGTTTCAAAAAGCAATAAACAAATAGTGACAAGAAAAAAAAAGCATAAAAGTAAAGGCTTCTTTTTTACAATCTCACAGATTTGAAATTTAGGAACGAACAAAACTTATCTAAGGGCACAAAAATCAAAGGAGTAGCTACCCTTGCCTTGGCTCAGACTTTGGAAGCTCAGGAGCTTCCAAAGAAAAGAACCTTTGGGAACAATGAAAACTCCAACTCTTCAACAATGAGGAGATGGTTGCAGAAGGATTAAAAAAAATCCAAGGTCATCCTTGACTACATAGTGACTTGACCAGACTGGGATCCATGGAACTGTATCAAAAGAAAAGAAAATGCATTGTGATTCTTGACTTGGGTGGTAATTTCTCACGGAACACATTCCGTCAGTCCCTCCTCTACTGAGTACCATCCGGTTGGATTCCATGTATAGAAAGAGATTACCATCTTGGAGTCCATGGTGATGAACCAGCTTGGGTAAGAACAATGGGTCTGTCTTTCCTTCAGTCCTCTTTAAATGCGCTTTGGGATTGAGGTTTCTTTGAGGCAAAGGTGCAAATTGGCATATTGAGCAATCCTTGGTGGGTCATTTCCCTCTGGCTAGCCAGTTTCCCATTACTGACACACAGGCATTCCTCGGGTATCTCCCTTGGCTGCAGGCGAAAGTTTGGAAGTTAGGTTCAACTTCTCAACTCCCGGGAAATTCCTCTTGGGACACGATGAGCGCGGGGGCGGGATGGGCCATTGCCTCAGACATGAATCAGCTACACTTTTGTGCTCCGCCCAGTCGGGGGTCGAGGGATGGTCGTCGCCTGCTTAAAGGCGCTTAAAGGCCGCTCCTCTGCGAGCGAGGGCGACTAGAGCTCTCCTCCACCAGGCACTATGGACCCTGCTACGCCCCTGCCGCTGTGGCTTCTGCCTCTGCTTCTGGTGGGCTCCGCTCGCGGTCTCGCTTCAGCATTCGCCCAAGGTATCGGCCCAGGATCCCTCTTACCCCTTTTCTCCCACCGCCCAGGGACTGGCTATCTCGCTAGGCTGTCCCCAGGTCCCTGCCTCTGCCAAGGGAAGTCGTGCATAGCTGGGGCAGAAACTTCTGCTGATGACTCTGGAACCAGACCTTGCAGTCGCTGTCAGGAATCAAATCTGACCATCTGTCCTGTTATTATCCTTCTGATTACAGGGAGTAATTTAGAGATCTGCCTCTTGCCCTTGGAGAAGGGACCTTGTCGGGCCCTCATCCCCAGGTTCTACTATGATAGGAACAAGCAGACATGCCGAGAATTCAAGTACGGAGGCTGCCTGGGCAACGCAAACAATTTCCACAGTCAGAAACTCTGTGAACACACTTGCGGAAATATCGAGAGTAAGTGTTCTGGGGTGCATCCCACTCAGCTAGTGTCTGCTCCAAGGGGAGGGTCAGAGCTCAGCTCATTTTCCAGGTCTAGTTGAGTCCATTAACTTTTATCCTAAAGTTTCCAAATTGCTAAACAAACTCCATTGGCTCCTCCCCCACCCCACTCCCGTTTGTTATTAGTTTTTTGAGAATTTCAGAAAATGTGTTCACCTCCTTTCTTCTCGCCATGCCCCCTTTCCTACCCACCCAACTTTGTGCTCCCCTAACTCCTACAGAGTTCATGCTGTCCCCGTATACTCTTGGATGTGTGACCTTCACTGCTTTTAAAGAAAACTGACTTTGCCCCAACATCAACTCCCTTGTTAGGGGTGGGACTTTGTGCCCACCTCCCAAATCTACAGCTACAAACAGAGTTCGGCTCACTACCAGATTCCGTTGCAATGGAGTGTCTGCATGAACTTTGGGAAGGGTGAATGAACCCATCTTGGGCTATCATAAACACAACGGGAGGACTTGAATATGCTTCTGTATCTATTATTAGTTTCAGAAATCCGGTCTTTGAGACCCCTGCATCCTCCTGTCAGTTACCCTTCAATATGGAATATTTTGATTGGTTATTACTTTTGAAATATGATTTCACTCGTTATAATAATTTTACTTTCCTTACCAGATTCTTGGGTTAGTGTACCAGGATAGCTAAGCACAATGAGTTTGTTCTCTTTTACTTTGTCGTTTTATAATTATATCTATTAAGGATGATACAGGCTTTGGCCACCAGTGTACTTAAGCCGGGAAGAAATGTGTATTGATGTGAAAAACTTTGATGCAGAAATGACCAGAGATCAGTCTTTCTGTTGAACTTGAAAGCCATGTTACTGCTGAGTCAGCCTCATACAGTGTCTAAAAGCTTACCTTCTGATGAATGGACAGACTTTTGGAATTTACTCTTCTAGTATGAAATAAGGTTATCGTCCCCCAGTAGTCCTGGAAATTATGGTAAAGTTTTGAGTGCAGAACTTAGAAAGCTGTTTTGATTTTTTTTGTCACCTTATGAATTTCTTAGGGTAGCATACAAAACAGTGGGCTCATCCATACGTATATGCCGTGAAACTTTACGTCCTGTCCCCAGCCCCCGTTTTTTTCTGGTGGTCCTTTCTTTCCCAAATAGTCAAACCCTCGGCTCTCCCAGCACTCTGTACACTTCTTTGCCCCTCCCCCACTTCTAGCCTCCTTCCCTGCCTCCCTTGCCGGCCTTTCCACTTCCATCACATAAGCTCCAACCCAGATTCTGCACGTGAGGGGAAATATGTGTGGCTTCTATGTCAGTTTCACTCATTTCTCTGAAAACATCATGACTTCGTCATGATTTGCATTCGAAAAACATTCCCGTGTACATTCAACTACATTTATTTAAAGACTCAGATGTTGTTGAACACCTGGGATGTCTCTGTTCTTTAGTTGTTATGAAGAGTACAGGAAGAATCATACATATGAAAATATGTCTGTGGTGTGTACACCCAGGGCTCTTTAGATACACACTTGAGTGTGATAGCGTTGGGTCACATAACACTACTATTTCTGTTTGGAGAAACCACACACACACATACACCACCACTGACTACCATAGTGCCTATACCAGTTTACATTCTTAGCAGCAGTGAATAAGGGGTCATTCTTCCTGCCCCAACTCCTTATAGCTCTTGTTTGTTTTCTTGATATTAGCCAAGGAAGAATGTTGTGGGAGGTATATTTATGCACTGTGTGAGGGTGTATTGCTGAGACTGGTACAATAAAAAGCTGAATGGCCAATATCTAGGCAGGAGTTATAGGTGGCCTTTCCTGGGACAGAAAGGACTTTGGGAAGAAGGGTGGAGTCATCAGCCTGAGAGAGGGAAAGCAGGAGATGGAAGGTGAAAGAGAGGTTGCCATATAACAGAATGTAGATTAATATAAATGGATTAATTTAAGTTATAAGAGCTAGTTGAGACAAAGTCTAAGCTAAAAGGCCAAGCTTTTATAATTGATAAGAAGTCTCCATGTCATTATTTGGGATTCCCAGCAGAAAAGAAACTTACAAAACACTTCTCTGAGTAACATGTTTTATTACCTCTCCCTTTCCCCTAGAAGTTCCTATGGTTTGTCGGTTAGAACTCCAAACGTATCCATGTGGTAAACCCAACGTGCAGTATTTCTTCAACCTGAATACCATGACATGTGAAGCCCTTCAGCCTGATCTGTGTAGCACAACTCTGAACATATTCCCTGATGAAGAGACTTGTAAGAAATTCTGTGAACCAAGGAAATGTGAGTGCTTTTATGGGAAAAATCAATAATTTGGTCTGAAATTACATGGTTTGTATGCGGGGCTACACAGTTATGTGATATTGCATGGGCATGTGTGTGTGTGTATTTGTGTGTGTGTGTGTGTGTGTGTGCTTGTGTGCGTTTGTCACCAATCAAACCTAGACTGTGTCCGTGTTCACAACTACTGCCCTGAAGGAAACATTATGTCCTTATATTTCCATGTGCGGGCACAAGCTGAAGGTTAGTAATGAGGTGCAAAATTCTCAAGGCTGGACTGTGACAAAGCCATGTTGCTACCTTTTCTCTTGTGTCTGGAGAACATCTATTGCCCATCTCTAATTAGAACATCTGAAATGTAAAAAACTTCACAAGTAGAAATGTACATACCTTACCTCAACTGATGAGGAACAGTCAAAAAGCAGGCACACTAATAGTATTGCATTATTGTCTTCAAATCCTGTACGGAAAGTGGGTGTGAAACACAATGAAATTCTTCCTTAGACCAGCATCCCAAGACGCTATCTGCATGTCTCATTATGAACGGGTCGATGTTCCAAAAATCAAGAAACCCTGAAATATGAATCACTTCTGGTCCCAAGTATTTTTCAGATTAGGGATATTCATACTGTATTGTCCGTATCTTCAATTTATACATAAAAGTTCCTGGAAGACACCTAATGGGTAGAAGGGGAGAACAAGGGTGGGATACAATGCTTTTTTCTCATATTTTCATGTATATATCTATGTATGAAGAGGGAACAGGGACTCTCTGAGAGAAGTAAATGGAGAGTAGTAGTGTTGGTGCTGACAACGATACATGAAATGTCATAAGCTTAGGAGCCAGTTTTTGTATCAACTAACGTAACTGATAACAATTTAATAGACACTAATAAATACCAAGACTTCAGAAATGTATGGAGGTAGTTTTGTGTATGAGACAGTAGACATTGTAGGATTAAGACTGGTTAAACTTCTGTATACTTTAATAATTACAAATTATCTCAGAATGTTCTGTTCTTTCCTTTCCCCATTTCTTCAACCACATCCACCAGATATAGCAGAGGCACATAGATCTTAAAAAGTTAAATCTTGAAGTCTTCTTTGGCAGGCTGTGGCAGGCCTCTGTGGCTGTACTGTGTTGAACATACAGAATTAAATATTGAATGTGTGTAAATATTCCAGTGATTGTTACCAGCCTAAGAAAGTTTGCCAAAGTATGCCATGTATTTCTTTTTACATAAAAAGGTAAAAGACAGCCTTAGAAAGAATTATTTCAGCTTATGAAATTGAAAAGGATGGGTATGGGGAGTGTTAATGGGGAAAGGTGTGTATACATACTGCATATATATGAACATTAAATTTTTAACTTAATAAGAGATAGAGAGATCAAAATGAAGCCGGTAACCTCCCCTGTAACCTGAGACACAACTTTCTTGACTGGTACAGGTTTTTTTGGATTCAGAATGAGGCCTGTTAGGGATTTTCTTCAGCTAGCCCACTAACCATCACCATCTCTTAGTTTGGCATTACTTCATTTCTAATTTCTTTTTCTTTTTCACAAAGTTCCATCATTTTGCTCCAGTCCAAAAGATGAAGGCCTTTGTGCTGCCAATGTGACACGCTATTATTATAATTCAAGAAACAAGGCCTGTGAAACCTTCACCTACACTGGCTGTGGTGGGAATGAAAATAACTTTTATTACCTGGATGATTGCGACCGTGCTTGCATTAAAGGTAGTAAAGCTCTTCCTACTCAGTCATCAAGCAAAGGTATTGAATAATTCAAAAGGAAAATTGTATTTTTCTGTACCCATTTTCTAGTGCCAAATGGTGACTTCTAGACTAATGCTACAAAAACAGTACTTGAGTTCTGATTTGGTTTGTCAGAGACACATACTGGCTAGCCAAAGCAGACAGTAGTCATGGCCTCCCGGTTTCAAGTGTAGACCATTAGAAACTGGAAGCCCAATGACTTTATAATCAGGATAGATGAAGTGAGGGAGGATAGTAAGCATTCTGGGAGAACTGATTGAAAATGAGTGACAGACTGAAGCCATATGATGTTAATTGTCACTTTATTGTCTTTAGGCTCAAAGAAGTCAAAGAAAAGGAAGACGGGAAGTGGTTTCAGAATCAGAAGAAAGCCCAGACACTGAGAACCATGTTTCTAAGCATTCTTACACTTGAGGAGGCAAATCATTAGTCATTTGCTCATATGATTTTACTGATGTGCTACTTTTGTTAGCCTGTGTACTTTTATTCATAACAAACAGCTTTCCAAATGTGAAATACACTTTTTATTGTACTACTCAAATGTTTAAGTGACTGAATCCTTTCAGTTATCAAATATAAATGTGAACATGATTCACCAAATTCTTGGGGTGGTTAGCCCTACCTTCAGAAGACAGTGGTTGCTAAAGTTACATAAGACAATATAATTGTGGAGTTTTAACGTATATGAGAATCAACAATAATAGCAAAAATATTTCTTTGCAAACTTCAATGTTTGGATTATATTTTAGGCTACAAGAGACAAGTTACTGATTTATGAACACTTTAAACAATCAGTCTAATATTATTACTTATACCTTGTCAAGTGTACTTCCATTCCAACCTTGTCATATTACAATATGATTATGAAGGGCAGTTATTTCAAACTTATAATTATTATTGGATGTATTAAAAATGTGGGTGAACTTATGAAAACATAAACATTTTCCTAGAAAAAATCATTACATATGCAATTATATGACTGTTTATTTTTCCATACCTGACAAGCTACCTATCTTTTTGACAATGTGTGTTGGATTATTTCCTCAGACAAAATGTTTTAGAGAACAATGACATTACCAGATCCTGTGTACCTGTAAGATGCATGTATGATTTGGTAACTTGAATTTCACAAATAAATTATTTGTAAAAGTTGTTATTATAAGAAGACAGTGTTTTTCCTTCCTAGTAAAAGGAAAATTATAAACTGTATTATGTCTTTTAGTAAATTTAACATTTAAAAGTAACTCTTTAGTGAAATTGCAAGATCATTCACTCTTTTCCTGAGACAGTACTTATCTGAAAACTTATCACACATATTTTGAAAACAAGGGTGTGCTTGAGAAGACTGACTGATGCAGAAAACGGAAACAAACTAGAAATATGAATAAGACTGGCTGGGTAAGTGACACGTGCGACTGGAGCAGGGTGTCTGTTTGTGCAAATATTCAGGCACAAGAACAACAGTGAGGAAACAGGGACTAGACAACAAGAACGAACACTCACATTCTCAGGCACTGTGGGAGATACTGGCATATTGAAAATTATTTTACAGGGTTGTTTTGGCTATCCTGGATCTTTTGTTTTTCCATATAAAGTTGAGAATTATTCTTGCAAGGTCTGTGAAGAATTGTGCTGGGATTTTAATCGGGATTGCATTGAATCTGTAGATTGCTTTTGGCAAGATTGCCATTTTTAGTACATTGATCCTACCTATCCAAGAGCATGGGAGATCTTTCCATTTTCTGGTATCTTCTTTAATTTCTTTCTTTAAAGACTTGAAGTTCTTGTTATACAGGTCTTTCACTTGTTTGATTACCATTACCCCAAGGTATTTTATGTTGTTTGTGGCTATTGTAAAGGGTGATGTTTCTTTGATTTCTTTCTTAGCCCTTTTATCGTCTGTATATAGTAGGGCTACTGATTTTTTTTAGTTGATCTTGTATCCTGCTACTTTGCTGAAGGTGTTTACCAGTTGTAGGAGTTCCCTGGTAGAGTTCTTTGAGTCACTCATGTAAACTATCATATCATCTGCAAATAGTGAAAGTTTGACTTCTTCTATTCCAATTTGTATCCCGTTGATCTCCTTTTGTTGTCTTACTGCTCTAGCTAGACCCTCAAGTATAATATTGAAGAGGTATGGAGAGAGTGGACAGACTTGTCTTCCTGATTTTAGAGGAATTGCTTTGAGTTTCTCTCTATTTAGTTTGATGTTGGCTGTTGATTTACTGTATACAGCTTTTTATTATGTTTAGGTATGTTCCTGTTATCCCTGATCTCTCCAAGACCTTTATCATGAAGGGGTGTTGGATTTTGTCAAAGACTTTTACAGCTTATAGTGAGATGATCATGTGATTTTTCTTTCTCAGTTTGTTTATATGATGGATTACATTGATGGATTTTCGTATGTTGAACCATCCCTGCATCCCTGGGATGAAGCTTACTTCATGGAGGATATTTTTTCTGATGTGTTCTTGGATTTGATTGCCAGTATTTTATTGAGTTTTTTCATCAATGTTCATGAGGGATATTTGTCTGTAGTTCTCTTACTTAGTTGTGTCTTTGTGTGGCTTGTATACCAAGGTTATTGAAGCTTCATAAAAAGAGCTTAGCAATGATCCTCCTGCTTCTATTGTGCAGAATACTTTGAGCAGAATTGGTATAAGCTGTTCTTCGAATTTCTGGTAGAATTCTTCACTAAAACCATCTGGCCCTAGGCTTTTATTGATTGTGAGACTTTGTGACTGCTTCTGTTTCATTAGGGTTTATAGGCCCTTTTAAATTGCTTATCTGTTCTTGATTTAATTTTGGTAAGTAATATCTATCCAGAAAATTGTTCATTTCCTTTAGATTTTCAAATTTGGTACATTCACACAATGGATTACTACTCAGTGGAAAAAACAATGGAATCTTGAAATTTGCAGTAACATGGATGGAACTAGAAGAAACCAAACTGAGCGAGGTTATCCAGTCACAAAAAAGAAAAACATGGTATGTTCTTACTCATATATGGATTTTAGACATAGAACAAAGGATTACCAGCCTACAATCTGAACTGCCAATGAAGCTAGTAAGCAAGAAGGACCCTAAGAAAGACATACATGGTTCCCCAGAGAAGGGGAAAGGTACCAGATCTCCTGAGCTAATTGGGAGCATGGAGGGAGGGGAAAAGTAGTTATGAGAAAGAGAAGAGGAGACGAGAACATGAGAGAGCAGGAAGATCGATGTCAGCTTGGAGGTCTAGTTAATCAATGGGGCCTCTGGTAGTGAGTGGATCAGTATTTATCCCTAGCATACAAATGGACTTTGGGAGCCCATTCCACATAGAGGGATACTTTCTCAGCCTAGACACACTGGGTAGGGTCTAGGCCTTGCTCCAAATGATATGACAGACTTTGAAGATCCCCATGGAAGACCTCTCCCTCCCTGGGGAGCAGAAAGGGGATGTGATAGGGGGCTGGTGGAGGTCAGGGGAGGAAGGGAGGGAGAGGGAACTGGAAATGACATGTAAAACAAGCTTGTTTTAATTTAAATTAATAAAAGGAAAAAATTATTATCTAAAACAGGATGGAGGCTTCAATGAGTTAATGGATATGAGACACATTTTAGGTAAAGCATCCACCTGTAGTTCTTACTTTGGAACAGGTTATATTTAACATAAGTTAAAACAAGTTAAAGGTAAGAAATTAGGTGATTTTTGAACACTGAAAAAAATGTAGCCAAGAATCCAGGCTACTGCTGAACAGTAAATAAATATAAAAAGATACAGTCTTAGTTTTAGTGGCTTTCAGAACCAATACATGACCATAAATCTTTGGCAGTATACAACCCAAGGGTCTAAAAACTCTAAAGAAATCAGAGGAAGTATTGAAATGTTCTCTGACTATGATTAGTTAAAGGAAAATTTATGGTACTATATATTCAATAAAATTGGAGACTTAGAGTTGTGACTTTTACTTTCATGAGAAAAAATATGTAGAAGCATACATTTTAAAAATTAAATATAAATCTTATAAATCTTTTCCCCCTTTTTTTCTTTTATTCTCTCATATATTACATCCTCGCCACAGTTTCCCCTCCCTTCACTCTTCCCAGCCCTCTCCCCTCTTCCTCAGTTCTACTCTTTTCCTATTTCCTTTTTAAAAAATAAGCAGACCTCTGGGGAATATCAACCAAACAGCATAAAAAGCTACAATAAGACTGGGCACAAACCCTCATATCATGACTGGACAAGGCAATTTAGTAGGAAGAAATGGCCCAAGAGCAGGCAAAAATGTCAGAGGTAGCCCCCACTCCCACTGTTAGAATTTCCATAAAAAGCACCCAGCTACACAACCATAATGCATAGGCAGGGGTCCTAGCTCAGACCCATACAGAGTCTATGATAGTTGATTCAGCCTCTGTGATCTCCTCTGAGACTTGTTTAGTTGATTCTGTGGGTCATATTCTCCTGGTGTCTTTGACTTACGGCTCATAAGATTCCATCCCTACCTCTGTGGGGTCCCCTGAACACCATGTAGTATTTGGCTGTGCCTCTACATCTGCCCCGATCAGTTCCTGGATGACACCTCTCTGATGATAATTGGGGCAGACACTGATCCTATGAGTATAGCAGAATACCATTAGAATCATTTCATTGACCTATCCAGCTTCTTGCACCTGGTTATCCAGGCAGTGTCAGTAAACTTCCTCTGTGGCTTGGGCCTCAAGTTGGACCAGTCATTAGCTGGCCACCTCCACAAGCTCTAAGACACCATTATCTCAACATATCTTTCTCAGTACTCTCTCCATCCCACCTGGCTCCTTCTGTTCCCATCCCTACCTGCCCCCAAGTTTGAATTAGAAATATTATTTATGAACACAGACTTCATGTTTTTAAATATGCATGCTATTTCCCATCTTCCACTAAAACTCCTTAAAGCAAGGACAAGTGACAAGTAGCACTGAGCACACTTCTTATATTGTGTTATCCTAATAGTATACTATATTAAAAGGAATTAGCACTCTTAGGAGAAATCCCCGAACCCAAGTATGGCACAAGAATGATTTAGAGGAACCTGAGCCATATTGTTCTAAATTTCAAGGAAGGAATCAAACAGTGATGAATTTTGTTAGGAAAACAAGAGAGTAATGTTAAGTAGCTCACACTGACATCAAAGAAGATAATATGAGCATCAAAGAAAATAAGGACCTGGATACATAAACATATATAAATGTATATATATGGACATCTAGAGCACACACACACATGCACCTGTACAAATGTGCACATATAGCTACATACAAACGCATACACACACACACATATACACACAAGAAAAAAATAAGGCCTCTGGCTAAGATGGTAGAACTTGTAATCAGATTTCTATATTGAAAGGAAATATTGGAAGTCGATGTGCAAGTTATCAGAAGTCAGAAGAAGTGTTCAACCAAATCCGGTACTGTAAGAAGCACCCTGGTTTCACCAGTAGGTCTTATTTAAAAAAGTATTGGGGGGGGGCAAGGAAATACAACCTGTACCTTAGCAACAAGTAAAAGCAGCAAGCCATTAAAGTTTTATTCGAGTAAAGGCTGTGTTTGTAACTCTTCAGCAGTTATACAGAATGGAGATAACAAAGGAGTTGTTCATGCTTTGGGGTTCTAGACTGAGTAATGCAGAGCCTTTAGGAATTCTGGGAGCTCCTTGATTCTCCATAAGGAACCTAATGTACTTGCTGCTGTTACCAGCCTACAGCCAAAGTCTTTAGGAGATCATGAGTCAAACTCAACCTATGTTCACACATCTGTTCTGCATTGTTCAGTATAACTCTCACACACAGCTGTTCACAGACAGAGGCTCAGGCCTCTGTCATCTCATTAAAAGCATGTCAAGCATAGCCATCATTTGACAATAAAACTTTAAATTTTTTCAAATTCAAAAGAGGGAAAGAGAGTAAAGCCATCATGGCACATCCTCCAGGCAAAAGGAAGTTCCTCTTACCACTTGCTGCTAGCCTGAGAAAACCTCCCCTTTGTGTTTTCACCAAGCACACTGATTAAAATGACTGTCTCTTTTTAACACAAACCATGCACACACACACATGCATATACCACCATGGCACACATAAACAAAAGGCATAAGGTGTTTATTTAAAGTATTCTGTGTTATGATTTGTATCTCCTTTA